ACCCGGAGGTGGGAGAGGGGACATAGGGGTGAATGACCAGAGACTTCTGGAAATGGGGGGATGGATTAGATGACCTCTGACCCTGAAACTGTGTTTGCTTTGCCGGGGCCATTGTCACAAAAATATCCCCTATTCACAAAATCATTCTTTAAAAAAAAAAATAGAAATGGCTTTGGAAAGACTCGTGCTTACCCAGTTCTGAGGAGGCTCACCCTAAGATCCTCTTCATAGCCGTGGAAAGAAGTACCTGTCTTTGTCTCAAGTGGGAGGGCTCCAACCCTCAGTCCCTGTGACAGGTAACGAGCAGGCCGACGACACCAGTGCTGCCGCAGGAGCGTGGGCCAGGCAGCGCCCGGGCAGGGCAGCGAGGAAGAGGAGGTGGATGCGAGGCCTACCCGAGCATTCCCCTGGGAACCTCTGTCGTCGGCCCTGGCCGGAGCGATAGGGAAGGTTGTCCGGGCTGGTGACCTCTGGGGACACCCAGACACTGACCTCACTGGTGTCTGGCTTCCCCCACGGGAGGGGAGCTGGCCCAGACACAGACAGGCAGAACTTGGGACTGAGATGTCTCACTGTTCAGCAGGGGCACCCTCCTGCCCACCCACAGTGCTGGACTGTGAGGGTGATTTCGGAGGTGACGGGTCCTCATCTTGACTATAGTGCCATAGTAGATAAGGTGGCTGAGGTGCCCCCCTGGCTGTCAAGGCTTTAGTGGCATTCTCAGGGAGGACATGAGCTCTCGAAAAGTGGGTTTGTGGCCACACTGGGTCTCCCCACCAGGACCGGGGCACTCGGGCTGTGAGAGCGCCAGGGCCCAGGGCTGTCCTCCCTGCAGCCCCAGCAGCCTCGGCCCAGGAGGGACGTGTTTACACTTACCCTCGCTCTTTCCCCATCCCCAGAGAGAACACTCACTTTCACATCTGCCGTCAGAGGCAGTGGCGTGGCGAGGGCATGTGGCCTTAAAAGACCTCGGTGTTTATTCCGGATGGGCTTGCGCAGCTTAAAAAACAGGAAAGTGCTCGCAAGAGGGGGTCACAGCCAAGGTTGCCGTGGCTCTGTCCATCCCTCCATCTTCTCCCTTTGTCCTGCCAGTCTTGGGTCCCGGGAGCCACGAGGAGGACCACCTGTCCTGCCGAACAGGCTGGGAAGCTCAGGGACTTTCTGAGAGCCTTCAGAGGCACCTGGCCTGGACACTGCTTTCCCAAGCCTGCCAGGTCTGCAGTTTCAAAGCCGGAGTCCCTTCCCCAGCCAGGGGTGGGCCTGTGCATGAGGACTAAATGCAGCTCAGCTGCTGCTTCAAGTTCATCTGTGGGATCCCTGGGCAGACGGGGCAGGGGACTTGCTTTGATTTCACGGGTCTGGAACCTGTGACATGCCCAGCTGGGCAGCCCCAGAGCTGCGACTCTGGTTCGGATTTCTTGCTCCCGGGCCAGTGCCTGTCCACTCTGAGTCAGGTCACCGTGTGGGGGCTGAGGACAGCCACGTGACCATTCCTGTCCCGGAATGGCTTTGGTCAGCGTGTGAGTGGGCCGCTGGATTCCAGTGTCACAGGCCTTCCTGTCTCAGACTCTTCCCAGTTGTTCTGTTGCCTCTGCCTGGGGGGCTGTCCTCTGGGATGCAGACCCCTAGTGACAGGCAGCCAGGCGTCTTCACATCACGCCCAGAGCCCCCTGCTCCTCCCCAGGCCCTGCACAACTTCGCTCCTGAGCAACCTAGAACGGGATCCGCCGGCGCATTTGCTTGTTGGCCACGTGCATCCAGCTCATAGCAGTCACGAAGCAGCGAGTGGTCAGATTCCTCTCCTACCTTCCCAGCCAGGACCCAGCAGCGGGACGTGGTGTCAGAAATCCACTCTAAATGAACACGGATTGTGAGGCCCAGGCCATGGCCTGGTGGTTGTGGCGACACGCATTTTCACAGTCTAAAGCGAGTGTTGTGTGCTCAGCTCTGGGCCAGGCCCCGGGGAAGCTGGGACACTGACGTGGAAGGAGGCAGGGCCCTGTCTTCCAGGTGGGGGCCACTGCAAGATGCAGGCCAAAATAAATGGTGGTTTTAGCACCTGTGGGTAAGACTGGCCACACATTCTTTCCAGTGTCTGAATCTTAAAACGCTTGGTGTGAGTTCATCTTCATTATTAAACTCATAAGTCTCTGTAGGGAAACGCAATGTGTGTGTGTATGTATGTGTACATATACATAGGGATTACGTGCTAACCGCACACGATCCAGAACAGTCAGAGAAGGGCAGAGGTGGTCAGACTCAGGAGGAGGACTTGGAGCCGCTGCATTAAAATAGTAGGCTTTTAAAAATTCCCAGAATCCTTCCTTCCAAGGACAATTTAGGTTCATTCAAGTATATAAAACACACAGGCCAGGGGCTGGCCTGGTCGGAGGAGCCCACTGCTAGCCGCCAGGGCGGCCCACCAGAGCTCCGCCAGCCTTCTCGGGCCGTCAGGAGAACTGAGCCGCCGTCCTGGCAGAGGAGGTGGAGGGGCAGCCCTGTGCTCTCACGGGCCCAGGGCATTGAGGGTCTCCGTCAGAAGAGCAGCAGAGTTGCTCCTTCGGAAGGAGTGGAGTTGTTTGCTGACCCTGATGCAGAAAGGGAGAGAGACTTCCATGATGAGTCAGAAGCACGCCAGCCAGCAAGTGTGCAGATGACCACATCCCAACGTCGTGACGTCGGTCCTGGAGGGGTGTGTGTGCAGCCCCGTGGGCACACACAGTGGAGGGTGACACTGGCTGGGCCTGGGCGGACGTTGGCGGGGGAAGGGCAAGTCCCAGCAGGGCGACATCATGGAGCAGAGCATCATCATGAAGCAGAGCATGGATGAGTCGGGGAGACTGTCCTGCGGTTCCGGGAGCTGCTGATACCCCCTCTGGGCAGTGCACGGGTCCCCAGGGTCACACAGAAGGGTGATGGGAGTGGAGAGTGGCACACACAGACATTGGATTGCTGTCATGGCCAGTTGGGACAGGGCTTTCTGTTGAGGAAGGTCTCACTGGCCATGCCGAACTGTGACACCAGCCATCCTAGAACCAGCCCAGACCAGTGTCCCCACTCAGGGGGCTCTGCTGCCTGAGGGGAGGACAGCCTTGGAATGGACTTGACCCTGGATGTTTCCTGCTTCCCCGGGCAGAGACGTTCACTCCTCACCCACACCTGCTGCTCCAACCACTGGCTGGTCCCCCACCCCACCCCAACACTTCTCCTCTCCTCCCCAACTCGCAACTGTATCCCACCGCACCCTCCTTTTCATCAAATACCAGCAAGACCCCTTCTCTGTTTTTTCCTGGCACTGAGTCTGATCCAAAGCACTCAGTTTTCTGGGCGAGTTGTCACTTGCAGCAGTAATAGTTAGCTTGAAGGCAGAAACTGTCTTGCGCTTCATGTTCCCTAAAGCAGAGGCTCCTAGTGTTTCTGGAGTGCCAGCCCCTTCGAGAATCTGAGAAAGGGGAGTCGGGGCAGCAGGACCCGCTCTCCCCAGTAGCTGCCCACCGGGGTGCTGTGGCGGCCACAGCTTCTGCCCTGGGGACCCCGCAGGTCAACAGGGCATCCCGCGAGTCTAGGAAGGCTTCCTGAGGGCGGTGAGGTTTGATGCCCATCATGAGGGGGGGTGGAAGTGTAGAGAAGAGGCCACTCGGGGTGGGTGGTGGCACCCTGCGGCAGGGGTACGAAAGGCACGGGGCATGTTTGGGGGAAAGTGAGGAAGAAAAATAATACTTGCCCAGACCCCAGACCTCTCCCTGAAAAGAGGACTGGGAGAAATGCCACCCCCTGCATTCTCTACCGACATGTCACAGTTAGAAAAACAAGGTGTGGGGCAGGGGGGAGAAACGGGGGCGGGGGGAAATGGGGACAACTGCAATTGAACAACAAGAAAATTTTTAAAAAACAGAAAAACAAAGTGTGAGAAGAAAGGAGCAGAGTGAGGCCATCAAAGTCCTTCATGAACCTGGGGGTGCAGGTCTCGGTGGAGCCCAGGGCCCTGAGTGTGGGAGAAGGTCGGAGGGGAAAGCTCCCGGATGGGCGGACACCAGGACTCCCTGTCCTGGGGGCGGGCCCTGCCACACCCTTAGACCGCAGGGATGCTCCCTGTCTAGATGTGGGACTCGGCTTCCACGAGGGCCTGTGTGCCGACCTCAGACGGGCTGGCAGGACCACTCGGCAGCAGTCAAGCTCAGGGTATGACAGTCGTGTGGATTTGCCCAGCAGCCTGCTGGGAATAGAAGGGCCTCGCTGCTTGCCACCCAGTGGGAAGCAGGAAGCTCAGCCAGCCTGTCCAGGCTGCTGGCGTGCCTGTGTGGTGCCGGTGGCACCCTTGGTGGAGTACGGTATCTCCACACCCACTGGTACACGGCTACCACCTTAAACCGTGTGAGGGTCCCCAGATCTCCCTGACAACTCGAAGTCTAAGCTCTGGCACAGCAGGTGTCCAGACCCCACCTGAGTCCTGGGGGCCAGTCTTCCAAAGGTCTCTGCTGTGTCCTGGGCAGAGGGGGTAGCCATCTGCCACTCCCGGAGCCCCACTGCCCAGTGGAGCCAGCAATTTCCCTCTCTTCCCAGCCCCTCGGAGGGACACACCCCCACACCATTCTTACATCAGAGGTCTTCTGGTTTTCAGGTTGAGATTCTGAGTCTGCTCTCCCTTTGTGCGGTAACCGTGTTCCTAAATGGTAACTGAATAGGACTTCATGTAGCTTTAACCCTATTGGATACATAAAGGGACCAGTCCATTTCAGGAAATTCATGAAGAATCCTTTGATAAAGTCAAACATGAGCGTCCTCATGCATCCAGGGTCAGGAAACGAGGTTTGTAATTCAGTCGAGGTGATGCTGGTTGAGCAGCTGCTGGGTGCCGGCAGGCTGGAGAGCAGAGCTCTGCCCTTTGGTGACCTTTTACCCTTGCTTAGCATCTTTCCTCGACTCAGGGGTACTTTCTGGGTCTGTCCCTTATCCAGGGCCCCATGGGGGCGTGCTGACTGCCCCTCTCTCTCCCGCAGCCTGCTGTTCACCAAGGTGAAGCTGGAGCAGGTGCTGAAAGGCCCGGAGGAAGCCCTGGTGACCTGCAGGCAAATGCTGCGACTGTGGCAGACCCTGTACAACTTCTCCCAGCTGGGGTGAGTGGCTGTCATTATCGTCCCTTGGGTTGGCTAGAGTGGACGGAGAGTGGTTGCTGGGGCAACTGCCCTCTGCAGGGTGGCCCCATGCCTGGTGAATGGGGGGAGATGAGAACATTTGAATGAGAATGGGGGACTTACTGCTCCTGAGGCCTTTTACATCCTGGTCTAATTTTATCCGTGTGACCGTCCTCTGTGAAGCACGTGAAGAACCTATTTAGGATGCTGAGGTCCGGGGCAGTAAGAAGAAAGAGAAGTCATTGTCAAGCATCGGAGCCAGGTGCTAGGCTTGCTTCTCTATCTTCCACATTAGCTCGCATATCTTAGACATTATCGGATTTTATTCTCACCCCAGTGAGGAAACTGGGACTCAGGGAACTCATGTAATTTGCCAGAGCCACTTGCCTGCTAAATGGTAGTAGTGCTGGGGCTTGAACCTGGGCCTCCTGAGTCCCAGCCTGTGGACCTTGACACTTCTTTTTCCATCTGAAAGTCAAAAGAACACAAGGAAGCTGAACTCTGGAAGGACCTCTCCTGTTTTCCCCATGCACCCTGTCTCTTGCTGCAGTTCCTGGCCTGGGCTCCGGGGTTGTCCTGGGCCAGAGCAGGGCACTCTTGTCCAGGCTGAATCTGCAGAAAGTCTTTGTTCAAACCCACCGGGACGCTTAGGTTCAGCCTGTGAGCCCAAAGTGGAAAAGGGCGTCATGCGGGGCGGGGCCCTGCCTCTTCCTGGGTTTGGACCCCACCTCTTCCCCCTTCTCTGGGACTGCTGGCTGTCACCACCACCCCCCACCCAGGGCCTCAGGGGACCCCGTGCTAGTGGAGGCACTTGCATTTTCACTGGGACTCGGGAGCCCAGAAGCCTTCCACAGCCCACAGAGGCAGGTCTCTGATGGTGAAGTTGACAGAAGAGGGTCCAGGGTAATCCCATGGAGTAAAACCCTTGGGCAGAGTAGGATCAGCCTTCTCTTTGCAGGCCTCTGAGCCTGGAAAATTCCAGGGCAGAGCAGGACCAGTGGGTGGAAGCTGCCAGAAGAAAGCTCTGGGGTGAGGGACTTTTCAGAAAGGAAAAGGGGGGGCCACCTTTTCCTGATGTGAGGGTGAGGGCTAGACTCTGTTGTTCGGATGCATCTTGTTCTGCAACTCACTGGCTGTGGCCACTCGGGCAGGTGCACGGCCCGGTCCTCTGCACTGAGTGGCAGGCTGCCTGCTCCTTCAGGCCTTCTTGGCTCTGCAGCCTTGTCCCCAGGCGCACAGGGCCCAGCTGTGCTCCCCCTGGGCGCACAATGAGGTTTGCCTTGGGGTCTTTTTAAGCCACCACTCACACTCTTCTGTGATCTGAGGGACCTGGCCCTCCTTGGGGGAACCTTCAGGGTAGGGCAGGGCTCAGCCAGACCAGCTACCTGTAGACAAAGGGTTGGGCCCAGAGGCCTGGATCCAGGACCCTCCAGGCTTTCCCAAGAATAGGAAACATCCTTTCTCAACCTGGAGCCACAGAGCAGAAACTAGGTCTGTAAAGTCTAGTTTGGGTCAGCTAAGGATCCACTGGAATCCGCAGCCTGAGGGTCTGGCCTGCCCCGCCCCACCTCCTGCTGTGCTCCCACTGGTCCACACTCTCCCCCAGGCCCTGCCCACATGCCCCTCCACTTGGCGCCTCCAGTCACGCTGTCTGCTCAGCCCTCTCCATCTGGGTCTTACTGATTGCTCAACTTGGACCGTCTCTTCTCCCCATCTGGCTGTCAGATTCTTTAGGGCAGGAGCAGTGCTGTATACTGGCTGAGAACCAAGGGCAAAAGGTCCCCGAGGTGGGCTGTTTCTGGAGCCCTAGGGAGGGCCCCTTAAGGGGCTGGGAGGGCGGGTGGGACGAGAAGCTGTACTTGTGGAGCTGCTCCAAGCCCACGCGTGCTGGGCACCGGCCCACATTATCTCACGTGCTCCTCACAACAGCCTCATGAGAGCAACATTCTCACGCTCATTTCAAGGTCAGACAGCTCATCTGGAGAACTCACCCTGAAAGGTGGCTTTGTCAAGGGTCACAGAGCTAAGAAGGGGTGGCCCCGTGGTTTTAACCCAGCATCCAGCCCCACACTCGGGTGCCTCCTGGGAAAGGGAAGAGAGTGGACGAGAACAGGAACCGGCCCTGACACAGTGGGCTTTGGTGGGTGGTTTCCTCCAGGGCCCGCAAAGAGGGCTGCGCATCCATAAGTCCATGTTCAGGCCACTGTGGGCCTGGGTTAGGATGGCAAGGATTCCTCAGGCTCCACGTTCTCCATCGGACCATCATCGTGGTTCCCTCCTGCAGGGAGAAGCTCCTATCCCCAGGCTGTGCGGGCCACCTCTCCTGCCCTTTCCACCTCGCCCCTCCTCTGAACTTTCCTAGTCAGCAGGTTCAAGGGCCACAGGCATCCCTGGCAGTGGGCAGGGGCAGCTCAAGGGCACGATAGGCTGAGCTGCCTTTCTGAGCTGGTGACTTCCCCATCCTCCCATTCTGAGAAAAGAGGAACCTCCTAGCAGTGTGGGAGCTGCGGGGACCTGGGGCATTGGGGCAGGGGAGGAGACTGGGACCACCATGCTTATTTATCTGTCATGCCAGGGTCTCCTTTGGGTCCTCCGAGGGCACACCACCCTGGCGGCCAAGGTAGTGTGCCTGAGGCAGAGAATAACATCTGGCCTTCCTTCCTCGGGAAGCAGGGGCAGTACAGCTGGGGACACTTCTAGGGGCCTCCGAGGCCCAGGCTTGCCTTGGAAGCCAGTCCTCAGCAGTGTTCTGTGTCTGTGAGGGCAGTAAAAGGTAGAAAGACGCCCCACCCCACCCCCCACGGTGGCCCGGGGCAGCTCCTGGCCAGAACTGGAGAGTTTCTGATCCTCGGCATCTGTGGTGCAGCGCCCGATGGAGAGCAGGGAAGGCAGGGCGGCCAGCAGGAGTGGCAGGGGAGCCACAGGAGGCCCCACAGATGAGGGGCACTCGGGCTTGGTTCTGTAGGTGGGGATTTGGGCTGGACGGAGAAGGATAGCGAGAACATTCTTAGTGGCTGCAGCGTTAGCAAGCCTGTCGCTTCGGGAACGAAACGTGGGGGCGTGGTGGATAGTGAGGAGACTGGACCATGGGGGATAGTGGAGTATAGCGATGGCCACACAGGCGCAGAGCAGGCAGCGTGTGCACGCGTGTGTGAATGATGGTGAGTACCACTGTCAGCTGAGCTTCTGGGGCGAGCCGGATCCTAGCGCCCAAGCCTGGGCCCTGACCCTTCCTGCTTCTCTGGTCGTCTCCATCCTTCCTCCTGGGCCCATCTTTGGCTCCGGTCCAGGGCCTGAACTCTCAGCCCCGGAGCCTGCCTGGCAGGAGGCTCCCTTGCTCTCCTGTCAGCCCTCCGCTTCACTGGGGCCTGGCCCTCTCTTGCCTTCCAGAGGCGTGGAGAAGGATGGCAGCGTCGGCGAGGGCCTCACGCTGAAGAAGCAGAGTGGCATGCACCTAACTCTGCCCGATGCCCACGATGCGGACTCCGGTAAGAATGTGCCCTGTGGGCAGCCATCCACAGGGCCCACGGCTCACTCTCCCGGCCAGAGCAGGAACGGGGAGAGTGACACCTTCCCCCTGCCCCTTGTCGGCTGCCGCCCAAGGGCCTCGTGCTGAGGAGCTGCCCTGCAGCATCCTTCGGGGCCCAAGTGGCTCTGGGACGAGATGGCTGCTGGCTGGAGTAGGCAAGGGAGGGACCCCACCTCCTGGGTGCAGGTGAAAAGAGAGGGGACACTGAAGTTGATGACAGCATAGAGCACAGAAACCATTTCCTCTGAGGCTGCACCTTTGGATCAAGGTTGGCCATGACAACACCCCTAGTAGATGGAATCAAGTCGGAAGGAATGACCTGAACTTAAATGTGCAACTCGAAGCCCAAAGCTGACCATTAACCGAGGACCTGATTAATGCAGAATACTTCCCTCCGAGACTCAAGAAGAATTAGTCACAGGAACGGAAGTGTGAGGGAGGCGTATTTAGTGGCCTTGCTCATTTTTCCCACTTCTGTGGACATGAACCAAGGGGCTCCTTCATTGTGAAGCCATGGCACTGATTTCTGGCGCCGAGACCAGCCTCCAACTTGAGAGGTGCATCTGAGGGGCGCAAGGGGGCCTGTGGGACTGCTGACTCCAAGGAGGGTCTGGCGAAGGAGGGCATAGCGCCCTTGGGATGAGAGGGAGGAACCACGAACAAATGTTGGGGTTCCATGTGCATTCGTCTGATCAATGGAAATCGCCCATGGTGTGCTCTGAGGTCTCCTGGGTTTCCTGGAGCTGTATTGCCTCTGAGAGAGAGAAAGTGCTTGCACCTCACCTGCCTGTGAACCGTGAATGTCAGTGGTTCGTGCATCACACACAGGGACCCACGTCACCCAGAGCTGCCACAGGGGGAGGTTCTCCAGGGGGCACAGGGTCTGACCTGAGCTGCTACCTATGGATCCTTAACAGCACAACCTCAAATGGGACCTTGTTGTGTAAGAAGTGATAACACGCATTTGTGAAAACAGAAAGCAAAAATAGCAAAAGGAAGAAAAGAAAAATCACCCATAATTTTGCCACGCAGGCCTGAACATGTGGCCTTTCAGGCTTTTCCTGTGCATATCTTCCTTTCTTGTAAGAACGCTGTCATACACTTTTCCAGCCTGTGTTTTCCACCTGACTGTAGAATCTACACATCTTTCCGCATCGATGTCCATACATATGCGCACAGTTATGTGGATGGCTGTGGAGTCTCGTATGATTATACCCTCACTTGTTTTTAATCAGTCCCTGTTGTTGGACATTCAGTCATTTCGGTCAATGTCAAAGTAACAGGCAGAAGAACCAGCACCTTTGCTGACATTGATGATTGCATTCCTCGGTAATGGACTGCTAGGCATGGGCTCACCGCCCGACCACCCCCTTGAAGCTCCTCTCCCCAGCCAAGGGTGAGGGGACCAGACGGGCCCTTCCTGGTGGCTCTGCAAGCTGTTTGGCGGCCACCCTGCCCTGATTGGGTGTGCCTCGTCTCTCCCCGCGGGGCTGTGCAACCCTGCTCTTGAGACCTACAGTGTGCTGCACTCAGATTCTGCCGCTCAGCTGCTCAGCCCCTCTGCTCTCGCTCTGCAGGCTCTCGGCGGGCATCGTCCATCGCAGCCTCCCGGCTGGAAGAGGCCATGTCAGAGCTGACCATGCCCAGCTCCGTTCTGAAGCAGGGCCCCATGCAGCTGTGGACCACGCTGGAACAGATCTGGCTCCAGGCTGGTGAGTGTCCCTGGCCCCAGTGACACCCGCTCACGTCCCAACAGGCCCCCAGGCTCTCAGAGCTGTGTCCCGTCCTAGAGAAGAGAGGACAGGGTGGTGGGGGTCCCTGACAAGGCTCACGTGGGCTTCACTGCTCACAGAAAAGCCTGGCCATCAGGAGCCTAGAGCTCTAGTTCCAGCTCCTTTTTCTTTGCCTGGCCCAGGTAAAGTCACCTAATCTGCCTGGTCATGGGTTTTCACTCGGCCAAATGGGGACAGTGCCTGTCTGCATACCCAGGGAGACCCTCTGGCAGCAAAGACAAGTGTGGGAGGATGTGAGGAAAGGTCACGCAGATGAACAGTCTTAGTCTCAACAATTTCACCTTGCCCACCTTCTCCTAAGTAAAACTAGTTAAGGCCCAAGCCCCAGGGGCTCGTGGAACAGCTAGAGAAGAGGCAGGGAATGGCGGCCCCCAGGAAAGGGAGGTCTGGCGGTGAGTCCATTGAAGGCAGAGTGCTGGTAACACTAGGGTTGTCACTTAGGACACAGTCCCTCTTGACGGCTAATCGGTGTTATTGCCACTGTGGAGTCTGAGGGTCAGTTAGTGTTGGGGACAAAGGCAGCTTCAGAGTTGCAAAGAGCTGGGTTCTAATGCCAGCACTGTCTTGCCTGTCCTGGTCTAAAATGAGCTGATGTGGGTGAAGCAGTTAGCACAGTGTGGGGCACACAGTAGGTGCTCAGCGAATGGTGTTTGACTTCTGTCCCATCCACGGTGGTTGTGGGGGACACAGAGGCAGCATGGCACCACCCGCAGTGACTACCCTCGATGCTGGACTAAGGAATGCCAAGGATCGACTTGCTGGGTTGATGGAGAGTTTAATCAGATGGTGGTGGGAGAGGTGGATTAGGGTGAAAAGAGAGAACCGAGGCTGGAGAGGAGCCTGAGATAAAACGGCAGCAGCTGCAGAACAGAGAAGAAGGTGCTAGAGTAAGTGGAATCCTAAAAATGCCCCAAGCCAGCATGCCTGCTTGTCTGAGATCTGCCCAAGCAAAGCTCCTCGGCTGTTTTCCCATTACCTTCCTATCTGCCCCCTTTCTGCCAAGGAGCTGGAGCCAGTAGCTCCCGAGGAAAGATGGAGAAGAGACCCAAAGTAGACAATCAGTTCCTGGGACATGTGGGGTTTGCAAGTTAGTGTTGGAATGTGCTTAGCTGAGAAGCCGAGGTTTCCTGCTGCATGGAGCCCACATATGGACACATTAGTATGCAGGACGCCCCCTCTCTCCCCACCGCAGGCTCTGAATCTGGAGAAATAAAATTGGGCCAGGATTCACAGAAAGGCTAGGCAGAGAAGCATTTTAATAATGCAAATATTGCCCCAGTTTCTGTGTCAGGGTCCCTCAGGGTGCCAGGGATGGGTCCAGGCTGTGCTCCATGGTCAGCTGCTTGCATTTGAAGCAGGAAAACGGATGTTGAAAAATCCAGAGGACTGATAGACATGGTCTGCTTTAGGCAAATATTGCTCTGTTTCCTTCCAGGATATGGAGCTATAATGGCTCTGGAGGGTGTGCTTGGGCTTCATCAACTTCAGGGACTGCAGTAGCACAGCGAGCCACTCCAGAGTTGTGTGTGGCCTACTCTGGGGCTCCCAGGGCCTTTTGTTTTAATGATGTGTCTTGTTTACAATACCATCAAGTGAAAATATTTTTGCATCTTACCAGCCGGCTTGCATTTCACAGATATGCTACTTTATGTGAGGGGTGCCAGGATGTTCTGGTAACTCCAAGGAAGGTTAAAATCGCTCCTGAAGCTGGTGATTAGACGGGGGAATGTTGCATAAACACATGCCCTTCAGTAATTCGAGCATCAGTCCTTCTTTTCTCGACATTGTCCTAGACATTCAGCCGCAGAGAACTTTGGGAACAAAGTCTGAGCACTCTGAATGTGGTGCCAGGGGAGGGCTGGGCAGTGCGGCATTAGGAGACAGGTTTGGGTACGTGTGACCAATCGAGAATAACAGTGGCTTCTACAAGCTGGTGGAAGCTTCCTTCTCTCACCTGGGCTGACAGCAGCTCTGCTCTCCTGGTCCAGGGACCCAGGTTCCTTCCATTTTGTTGGTTCTGCTCTCCCCTTGTCACTTTTTTTTAAAGATTTTACTTATTTCTTCCTAGAGAGAGGGGAAGGGAGGGAGAAAGAGAGAGAGAAACGTCAATGTACAGGAGAAACATCGATCAGTTGCCTCTCACATGCCCACCACCAGGAACCTGGCCCACAACCCAATGTGCCCTGACTGGGAATCGAACCAGTGACATTTCAGCTCACAGCCCGGCGCTCAATCCAATGAGCCACACCAGCCAGGGCTCCTCTTGTCACTCTTATCCCAGTGATCCAACATGGCTCTCCACCACATTCACTTTCCAAGGCATAACTTGGAAGAGTAGGAGAAGGGGACACCCCCTCCCTTAAGGACAGGTCCGAGAGTTTACGCACATCACTTCCCCTTTACCATCCGTTGGTCAGAACTTAGTTACACGATCACACACCTAGCTGCAAATGACTGTAGGAAATGTCATTATTCGGGGTGTCCATGTGCCCATTAAAAATCAGGGCATCTATCATTCTAGAAAGGGGAGTAGACTAGTGGGCAGCGGCCACAACCAGAAAGGGAAATGAGAGCATGACCTAGGTCTTCCATTCTGAGCATGGGAGAATTCTGGAGCGATCAGCATCCCATGCGCCCTCTCCTCTCCCCTGGTCACTGTCATCTCCAGCAAGCACGAATGAAGGGCTGCTGGAAGCAGATCGCCAAGGCAATAACTTCTCCCTAACTACCGCCCTTCCCCACACCAGACCTGGGCTAAGAGTATTGGCATCAGCACCCCTACCCACCCACCTAACGATGCCACCAGCTGCAGTGCTTTTGCAAGAAGGGGAAAATATTCCCCTTTATCATTTTGGAATGAGCTAATCCCCCTGGTTCGGTGCCAGATAAACTGCATCCCAGTCTGTTCTGGCAGTAAGTTCCATCATTAACCCCTCTCCTAGGCTGGGAAATGTTGTGTGCTGCTTCTCCCAGCTCTCGTTGTCCTCGCGTCCCCTGTCCAAGGGTCCTTCTCTTTCCAGTCTGACTTGAGAAGCTTCCCCAAGGGTTTCCACTTGAGAGATGAGTTTCAGAAATGTTGCCCCTTTGGCAGCAGGTATGTGCGAGAATGGGTGAGGAGTGGCCCCACAGATGCTTCAGGGTCCTGAGTGTCTGCAGGTGCTTCCAGGACAGCACGACGGCCCACCTCCCTCTCTCACTATTGCTCACGCCTCGGAAACTGAGTGTGCTAGAGAGAGGCAGATGGATGGAGGGAGAGGTCCCTTGCTTGGAATTCCAGGGGCTCACAGGTGGCCAAGGGCTCTCCCTGAGTTGGGGGAAGTTAGCCCAGGTCTTAGCTCCCAAATGTCAAGTTCACACTGCCTGGGCACTGGTGCCCTGGCTCTTAAGGTGGCCCTGCACATGGACACCACCCCAGCTGGCAGCTGGGCAGCCTGGAGAACTGCAGTGGGGCAGTCAGGGCTGTGTCCAGAGGTCCTATTTGTTATAGAATTATAGTCAAGGAAGACACTGTCTTACCCTTGGCCCCGAGTTGCCTTGTTCCTCCTCATTCCTTTCCTTGTCTTCACTCTCTCCTCTTTCCCCAGCTCCCCACCCCCGCCCCCATCTCCCTCTTGCCTTCTGTGCCTTCTTTCCAAGTCCTCTCTTCCCTCGCTCCAGCATTTTTCTTCTTCCCTCCTTTCTGCCTGTCAGCCACTGCGTGCGTGCGGGGTCCTGAGTTAGTAAGAAGAGGCTCCCAGGACAGGAAGTGAGGGGCCAGGCCCAAGCAGTCTTGATTCCCTTGTGGTCTCAGAGGCAAATCGTGTCCCTCTCTGGGCCTAGGGGCGGGGGGGTCTCAGACCAGCCCCCCATTCCCTTAGATCTCTAACTCTCCAGGCCTTCTCCCTTCTGCCCCCACCCCATCTTCTCTTTCATCCCTCCCTCGTCCACCCCCACCTTCTCCTTTATTCTTGGTGTCACTATGTCCTGAGGGCCTGCTCCACAGGAGGGATGCTTATTTCCTGTAGGGGGCAGTTTTGGTGATGCCCGTGGAACTCAGGGCTAGCTAAGGTGGATTCTTTTTAGAGCCCAATGTTTACTCCTCTCCTGCCTTGGTGGCTCTGCCCTTTTAGCTGGTGGAGGGTCTCCGTTTCCCCCGGGGAGAGCCTCTAAAAGGCTGTAGGTGTGGCCCTAGGCCCTCCCTCCCCCAGCTCCTGGCTCAGGACAGGCGGAGGGCGAGGCCCTCCCTGCAGAGAGGCTGTGCAAATAGCCCTAGAGGAGTGAGTCTGTCCCCCAGCCTTGGGGGTGAGGCCTCAGTGTTGGCCAGAATGGCAGGAAGACTGGCACCAGCTCCGGTGCAGGGTTAGAGCAGGAGGCCTTAGAAAAAATAATAAAAGGACGGTTGCAAAGCTCCAGGGAACAGATGTTTTCCATTTGGAGTCTGCTGAGAGAAAGCGAAGAGGGGGCGGGTGGAGAGAGCTGGAGGGAGGAGAAGGAAGAGCTGAGACAGGCGAGACAGGAGGTCTTGAACGGGCTGGGAGGGGGATTGGAGAAGCGAGAAACCCAGAGTAGGGAGAGGGAGTACGGAACTGAGACAGGGTCGGAGAGGGCCCCCTGGCACCAAGGGGACAGCGAGGCCCCAGTTGCCTGGGATGATGACCATGACTATGAGACTCCAAGGAAAACCCGGTAACACTGAGTGCTCATCCGGCCCCGGCCAGGGGAGGTTGGGAGGGGTGTGGGCACCCTGGGGCCCTGGCAGCCAGGGCCTGGTGGTAGCAGACCAGGGCAGTGGGCGGGCACTGTGCCATGTGGCTGTCTGTGTGGTAAAACAACTGCCTGGGGACACTGAGGCTGGAACGAAGGGGTACACTGAAGCCCCCAGACCTGTGAGCCTGACTGCAGGTCAGAGGCCCCGCCCTGGAAGCTGGGCCCGCCAGGAGCTGTCCGCGAGGCCGAGCCAGCAGCCCACAGGACCTCACTTCTCCAACTCTGTTCTGTGTCATCTGGTTTCCTGCCTAACTGGTAACAAAGTCCATGGAACAAAGCAGCCCTACCTATTTTTCAGGACGTGTTTTCTGGTGTATGGCCAGCCCAAGGCCCAGGGCCCCAAAGAAGGAGGGAGGCGGGGATCATGTCATTGAAATCCCTTGATGTCAGGTACTGCGAGGAATCCCCAGGGGAGGGACCAGGGGCAGCCTCCAGAGATGAAGCTCAGGAGACAGGGCAGCAAGTTGTAAACAGCTTAATGAGCTGTGCCAAGACCAGGTGGGCAGGCAGACCAGGCCCGGGGTGGGCCTGCTGGTGCAAGGTCTGGGGCAGTGGAGGGCCCGGCCTCTGAGCCGAGCTGCTAGCGAGGGAGGGAGCCACTGTGGGAGCTGACGCAGGAAGACCTCCCCACCCCCAGCACTCACACCACACACTTCTTTCTACTTCTCCCCTCTTCTTTGTGGCCCTGGGGACTTCTGCCAAAGGGGAGCCCAGCCCTCCAGGTTAGCCCAGTCTCCCTTCTTTCTGCGAGTCCAAGTGCCCCTGCGCCTTCAGGCCTTAACTCAAATGCTGCCTCCCTCAGGAAGACTTCCCTGACCACACCAGCACAGCTGACCTGACCCCTTTGGAGTGACCAGAGCACTCAGAGTTGGCACTTGTCACTCCACTGCTCTGGGTCACTCCAGTAGTTTGGTGACTTCACTCTTTGTCCTTGTGGGAGGGCCAGGCATACTGTCAGTGATCAATAGTTGCATATTGCACACTTAGTTATGAAGGCAGTCTGCTCAGAGCACCAGGCCCCAGAAGGGAACACAGCAGCAGAGCAGAGGAGAGCCGACGTGGAGAGAACCAAAGTCCCGACCCCTGGGCCAGCCCTCCCTGCAAGGCCCCAGGCTCAAAGCCTGCCCTTCCCGGCCTCACCTCCCTGTGTTTTCTGTCTTGGGAATTTCCAGTCCAGGCTGGCCCAGGGAACAAGGGCCAGCATCTCTCTTTCTGGCCTTATCAGGGGAGCCTGGCTCCTCTGTGTTTAATTAATTCTCTGATTCCCCCATACTCATCTCCACTAGTGAAAAAAAGTACCCTTGCTCAAAGAGCCCTCTGTAGTATTTTAGGATGTGGCGAGCTGTTTGATTATGCAATGAGCCTTAGGCAACATTCAGGCTGAGTGCTCCGAGTGCTGTGTGCTACAGTCAAAGCCTCAGTTAGACCTCCTTCCTGCTTCTTGCCAGAGTGGGAAGATGTGATGCCTGAGCCTGGGTTTCCTACCTCTTTCTGGGAGCTTCCTGTGGGATGTCTCTTATCCAGCCCACCCCAGGCCTAATCCGAACTCATGTAACCTCAGCTCTCATCCTTTGTAAGGAACAGCTCTTGGCAAAGTCACAAGCCAGGCTCTGCTTGCCCTTCTGTGCTCCCATCTGTGCACGGGCACCAGCCCCAGGCGGGGCAGCCGAGCCGTAGGCTACCGTCAGAGGAGGGCCGAGTGGCCTGTGAGGCCAAGCTGCAGCCCCAAAGAGCTGCGCTGCAAAAAGCACCTGCTGTGGGTGTGTGCGTGCAGGAGGGTTTGAACTGCTTTTATGTGGGCTGGTCCGGGACTGGAGAAACTGCCCCGTTTTCCACTGATCTGGGGCAAACCGGTTGTGGGGCGCATTGTACATGTGTCCTCTGTTCTTCTCGGTGCTGCAGAAAGTCCTTTGGAGGGAGGCCGGGAGCTGCTAGGGGACCCAGCCCTGCCCTGCCCCTTCCCACTGAGGGGTGGGGTGAGGTCCTCCCTCCCTCAGCCTGGCTTGTTAGCGTGGGGCTTGTGAGAGCGCCGCCGCCTCCCTCCCAGACTTGTGAGGATTAAATGAGAGAAGATGCTTCTCACAGTTGGGCCTTGGCCCACAGTCGGCTCTCAGTGGGTGCCGGCTGTTTGGGAGCTGTTACTAACACTCCTTGGCGGGGCCTGGCTCTGCCCCTGCACAGGTGCTCCCTGGCCTCTCTCCTCCTCTCCCACCCACGCCCATCCTTGGCAGGATCGCCTGGCTCTCCCTCGGGCTCTGTGCACACGGCTAGCCTCCCTCCTTGGAGACTGAGAACTGGAGGAGAGCCACCACATCTGTTTCCCTCCCCCTAGCCCAGGCACACAATAATGAACAAGCGACATGAGAGGACACTGGAAAAAAGTCACCATCACCTAAGCAAAGGTTGAGCTCCAGGAGATACCACTTGTGTCCCTACTGCAGGTCTCTGAAGTCCAATGGCCTGATGCCATCTTACCTAACCTAACTTACCCTTTCTGTGGCCTTGGGCAACTTCCCTACCCTCTCTGTGCCTCAGTTTACTGCTCCCTGAAGCCCAGCAATAAGAGTGCTTGCTCTACAGCACTCTGTGAGCGTTGGCCAAGAGTCTGTGTGGAGCACATAACACAGCGAGCACTCAGAAGCCCTTACCTGGTGTTAGCCCCGCACCCCAGAGCAAGCCTGCCCTGTGCTGTGACTGGCAGGGGTGGTTTCCATCACCCGAGACTGGTTCCCAGGGCGGGGGCTGCTGCCTCCGACTTTGCCACCACTCTCACCTCCCACTGTCCTTCTGGTTTCACAGCTGAACTGTTCATGGAGCAGCAGCACCTGAAGGAAGCAGGTTTCTGCATCCAGGAGGCAGCAAGCCTCTTCCCCACCTCGCACTCAGTCCTCTACATGCGCGGCCGGCTGGCTGAGATGAAGGGCAGCCTGGAGGAGGCCAAGCAGCTGTACAAGGAGGCGCTCACAGTGAACCCCGACGGCGTGCGCATCATGCACAGCCTGGTGAGTCAGCCTCGCACCCCCACACAAGGCCTCGGGGCCCTCTCCACCCTCACCCCCTCCATGCCTGCAGGTGCTTTGCTGCCACAGTTCCCGGGTGATATGGTGTCTGGAGGTGGCTTCCGCCCTGCTCTGTTGGGAACAGCGACCGACGCTCCCTCCCGCAGGGGCAGGCCGCTTCCCAGAGTCAGAGCCTGCCTGAGTAGATGAAAGAATCCGCGAGCACAGGCTGACGCTCTGCGACGTGTTGCTGTTAGTTCCTGTACGGCAGGCAGCCTAGCCTCAGACGGCTTCCACTGTTGTGTGCGCATCAGATCCTCTCCCTGGAGACTCTAGATACTGGAATGTTCTTTGTGGGGGTTCTCAGACCCTCGCCACCTCAATCATTGGGCTGCCTTCCCCATTTCAGAGGAGCTCCTGGGCAGGATGCCAGGGGATGCCCCAGAGTGGGCTGTCATTCCGGGTCTGACTCAAGCACACATTGGAAATGGCCCCTGGGGCCCCCAACCTCAGGACATGGAGCTCAGGACTTGGGTGCCCAAGGCTCAGTGACCTTCCTATGGGAAGGGTCAGGGACCGGGAGCAGAATGCTGGTGCTCTTGTCCGGGCCTGGCCATTCTCTTTCCGGGTGACTATGGGCAGGTCAGCCCCCCTCTCTGCGCCTCTTTTTTACTTATCTGTGCAGTGGGCCTCTCCTTATCTAGTACAGTAGGCCCTCAGTGTAACTTCTTGCCCACCTTCCTCGGCTGCCTTCAGGGAGCGGGCACCAGGATCAGCGCAGTGCCCTGAAAGTGTGCAGGCCTGCCTACGCACAGTGGTTTTTGAAGCATAGTTTAGGAGCCCACAGTTAGAGACGCAGTCTTCCCCTGTCAGAGTCTGGGTTCCACTTCCTGTCCGCCTGAGAGCTCCTTGAGAACAGCCAGGACAGGGCCACTCACGTCCAGACACTAACTAACACAGAAGGGTCAGAAGAAGGACTCCAGATGGCCGCAGGGTCATCGCTGCCCGGAGGGGTCTGACCGTTCACGAGCAGAAGCTACCGGGAGTTAGACTGCAGCCCAGTGTCGGGAACATGGTGTGATAACTCCTAGGGAAGTCCAAGCACAAACTCAGGTACCATCCTATGAGGATGCTGCCGACAGAAACATCACATAGGGGTTTATAATGAGGTCCTTTCCAACCCCAAGAGTCCTTGGAAACAGATGAGAACAGAGATTCCCAGCTCAGCTCTTACTCCCGCTGCCTGGTTTCTCAAGGGCTTTTCAGCGTGGGCCCATGCGAGTACGGCGCACCAGCTGAAGGAAACCTGTGCAGGGGCGTCACAGCCTGACCCCTGTTCCCCTCCACGTGGCTCCGGGTTGGCTGCCAGTCTGCTCAGTAGATGTTTGTTTTTTGCAAGGCACATCCTTCCTCCCGCAGTTCAGACATTGGCTCCTCTGATGCATGCCTCCCGGGAGGTCACGTCCAGAAACTTGATTAGGGCAGTGGGGGGGGGTGCGGCTACGTCACTCGGCCTCAGCCGGCAGCCAGGCAGCGATGTCGGCCTTCCGCTGCACTCGCGGGTAGGAGCCTGCCATTCAGTTCCTAAAACCCACCGAAATCCAATAACAAGTACAATTTCGAAGTAACAGAGTACCATTTTTCATTTATGCTTATTATTGTTGGTAGCTATTTCCCTGAAATTGAAGCAGTTTCCAAGGGTGAGTTTCCATGGTAACTGAAGAGCTGTCCAGAGTGGCTCCCTGCAGATGTTTCTGAAATGGTCCCTTTTCTCTTCCCGGGTGCCTTCCCGATGTGGTGAAATCGGAGCAGGTTGGAGGCAGGCCAGCCCACTGTGAAAGTTCTAAGCAACCAGAGGGGCCGTCGGCTCCAGCGTGGGCAGCTCATCTCCTTTCCACGCGCGCTGTTCCTGCCAGCATCCTACACGTATGCATAGAGCATAGCAGATTTCAGGCCTGGGGAAGATTTACTAAGCACTCTTCTCCCAGAGACACACGAACACTTTGGCATGTTGATCTCTACCTTCCCCAGTCTAAGTGTCTTCCCTGGACTGACCTCAGACTCAGGGCAATCTGTGACCTAACTCTGGCGCTGGCCCTAATGCACTTGGGTGACTTAGGAAAAGATACACTTAACTTCAACCGTCCCGATGTCTCCCTTTGCAAATAAATAATAATCTTCATCATTCCTAGACCTATGTTCTAATCAAGTGAGGTGACACATGTGAAAGTACAACCAGAAGTCTGCACTGAAGTATCTGAGAAAGCAAAGCACAGCATGTACACCACCATGCTCTAGTCCCTCACCCGTGACAGACATTACTAATCAATCACAGCACTTTCCCCCATTGAGCACAGATGTCACATTGGGATCTTTATCACCACAGTACAACACGAAGGGATCCACTCCTCATTGGTTAAGTCAGCCTGACAGTTATGTAAGGGAGTCACTGTAGAAATAGTCGGTAGAGAGCGAGAGCAACCTATCTGTTATCTCAGCCTTTGTGAACTCCAGGGGTGGGTGCACCCCTGGAGAATTATCCAGTTAAAGGAACATGGAGGGGAACTGGCGTTCCCCCACTGTGGAGTCATGGATAAGGCAGGTTCCCAGGGAAGACATCCTGGCCTTACCATGCCACTGTGGCTTTGTGAGGACGCTGGCCTCTCGTAGGTGCTAGGGTCCCCTGAGAGCACAGCCAGCCATAGCCAGGGCTGGAGGAGCTCTGGGTGAGCCCTCAGAGGTCGTGGTTGAGTCCCACTCCCAGAGGTCTGGAAAGGGGAGGATGAGGATGGACTCTAAGCTGTGCGGCAGCCAGGTTTGGCCCTGTAGTCCCTGAGGCAGGGTCACCACACACCAGGAGGCCAGCCGATAGGCCTCTCCCTGTGTCTGTGTATGGGGGACAGGCCAGCGGGGGACAGGCTGGAGGAAGCCTCTAGGAGTGGAAGGCTGTTGCGTTCAGGAGCCAGGGTTCGGGCGTTTCTAGGAATCTGAACTTCGGCCCAGAGGCAGGTTCTCTCCTCTCCCCATCCCGCTGCCCTGCATGTGACAGGGGACCTCTCCATGGTTCTGGCTCCACTCTGGGCTCGGCTCAGATTTCTCCACCCAGATCAGGCAGGAAAGAGACACCACCTTGGCAGTGCTCTGCTAGGGAAGAGTCTCCCCTGTGCCACAGCAGCACCCCAGAGGCGTCTGTGTCCTCAAGCCCTGGTCCTGCAGCCACCACCTCTGCCAAAGTACAGATGGAGAAAGGCGTGCTCTCTGCAGATAGAAACTCCCGGTGACATCCAGCAGCAGGTCCTGGCGGGGTCTCTGCCGGCTCAGTCCCGGCCTTCCTGACCAGTAGCCAGACACCTCACTCCCTCGGCCTGGGTGTTCAGAAGTTGATTTCCTGGCGGAAGACTCTAGTGAGGGAGGGGAAGCCTGAACTTCACCTGCCTGCCCCTGAGGAAGCATGAGAAAGAAGGCAGGGTCCTTCCCCAGATCAGCAGAGGAGGGGGCCCTGGCTTGCACTGCTTTTTGGAGAGGGCCCCACGGCCTCAGCCAGAGGAGGGTCCTCAGGCAGCCTGCATCGTCTCTCTGAGCCTGTCTCTGCCCTTTCCTCTCAGGAGCCCCTCTGCACACCAAGAGAGCAGGGATGCCTGGGGACGACAAGGAGCCCAAGTGTGGCTGATGGACTGGCCAAGTCACTCAGAGCCCTCCCAAGAGGAAGTTCCATTGAGGTCACCTGACCTTAGTGGTAGGAGGGTCACTAGCTCTGGCTTCAGGCCAAGTCGCTCTCCCTGCCCTCTGCTAGGCTGAGCCGGGAGCATGGATGCTTTGGTGCAGCCTGACTCACCGCAGAGAAAACCTCAGCCACGAGTGGGCAGGTGTGGTTGCATTCCTGCCACCTGCATTTCTGGAGGGCAGGTGGGGTTTCCTGCTCCCCACCGGCCCCTGTCCCTGGTCATGCTTTCTTCTTGGGACAGAGCTCCAGGTTCCTGTTGCCCGTCTCCCTGGAACCCTTTCTCCTTGGTCACCCCAGCAACAGGGAGAGACTGCCCTGCGTGAGCTTTAGCTCCTGTGCTGTAAGTCCTGGAGATGTAATTTCTGAAGCAATCCTAGCCATGTGACCTGGCCTCTTCTCTCTCCAGACGCCCCCGCAAAGACGGAAGACAGCATTTCTGTCATCCAGTGCCCTCCGATGAGAATGTGGCCATGAATTATTCCCCTGCATTTGTTCCATCTTGCTCCCAGCATGAGGCTGATGTCTTGCTCTTGACGTGGGCTGTGGGCTTAGTGCATGGCCATCCCCGAGGGCCCCAGAGCCCCTTGCCCCACCTCTCCCCAGACTGGAGTGTGCTGCAGTGTATCTCAAGTCCCCAGAGCTCCCCACCAGATCCCTAACCTTCCCCAAGGTGGGATCCGCGTCAGGGAGGACCAGGGTTCTGCTGCACCTAGCCCAGGGTTCTGGGTTGGGCTTTGGCAGGGGCTCCAGGATCCAACAAGAAGTCTCTGCTCTCAAAGGCCAAGGAGGTGGTAGACTGTGGCCACATAGAACTGCCCCCAGCACCCTCCCCTGGTGGGCCCCGTCCCCAGTCCTAGAGGGCAGGGTTGTGCAGTAGAGGTGACGCATCTGAGGCAGACAGCCAGCCCTCAAGTCATGGGGCACAGAGATTACTTCCCTCCCCTGGCTCAGGCTTCTATCCAATGAGGAAAATAATTTAGGCTCTTGTGAGCTCCAGGGAGAGTTTTGGGCTTAGATGAGGTGAGAGCTGTGAAAAGGTACATTAACAGCAGGCATTTTTCTCTCCATTTGCGTGGAAGACTTGGTGGCGGGTAGCCTGAGCCCATCTTTGACCAGGCGGCTGTGGGGTGAAGGTCATTGGTCCAAACTTCCCTGTGCTGCTGGATGGCCCCCAGTGCCAGCAGGGTGCTACAAAGGCAGGGAGGGGCTGCTGGGCAAGGACCAGGGACCTCAGAGCTGCCTGTGGGGCCGGTTGGCTGGCACAGTTCTTGAGCCCCAC